GAGAGAGAGAGAGAGAGAGAGAGAGAGAGAGAGAGAGAGGGAGCAAGGCAGATAAAGTGAGAGAGAGAGAGAAAATAACTGCGAGTGATAATTCAACAGGTAGCAGTGTGTGGACTGATAGGGTTGTTACAAGCAGCAGGGACTGAATTACCACTGCCGTGGATGGACCCTGTCACCTTTGCACATCCAGACCAATATTTGGAACTCACTCCATGTTCACTGATAAGTGGACACAAGGCTGAGGCACTTCAACATCTGAACGTTATTAGCTTAAATTCCAGCTATCGGGCTCAGCATTTAGCGTTCAGTATCACGGCAGCTCAGCGTGGAGGAATCTTTCAGAAACAAGACAGAAGCATGTCAAAATATTGAGATGAACTGTGTTGATCTGCCTCGGCGAAGCCCTGTTGGTGAGAAAGTGTGTGGCGAATACGGGGAGCGTCACAATACAGGGAGATATGCTCTCTGCTTGGCTATTCATGTCCACTGTCAACCTCTCCGAACTAATTAGAATTGATTTATGATGGATCAGCTAGCTTATCAGGTGCAGAAAGGAATTACCATGGCTAGCCAAGGGGTGAGAGGGTCATCATCGAATTGTAAAATCAATTTGCATTGATTGTAAAAGGTTCATTTTGCGAGAGAGGACACAGTCAAAGGGATTAAACTTAACCAGACAACTTTGATACCGGCACAATAGGCTTTATTTTTTTTACTTTCCTTACCAGTCTGTATAACACACACTCCAAAAGCTTATAAACGCGAGTGCGTTCTTTGACGCCCCGAGGCACATCACAGAGATTTAATATTGACGTAGAAGTGACATCTGCACTATGGCTGTAATACCTGCGGTTTTGAGAGTAAATCATATATATTGTGTCCAATCCAAGGGTGAATTTGTAAGATCTACATTAATAAAAGAAGCTAAAAGAATTGGCAGCGCTATCAAATCAGGGCTGGGTGGGCGGAGCCACGTCTGAGGTGTCAAAGAGCAGGTTTAATTAAGCAGGAGAGGATCTTTGTCTTTCACAGAGCGCCTCTCAAATTCACCGCCAAATCCCTCTTTCAGTCCCTCTTACCTTCAATCGCCAGCATTGCCCTTAATTCTCGGTTCAGCAGCTCAAAGCGTCTCTCCAGATCGTGTTCCTTCTCCCTGGGCAAGTTGTAAAAGTTCATCAATATGTTAATTACTAAATCATTAAACACTTAAAGAAATCTTTAATAAACATTGATTCGTGAACTCCCCAACACCTTCCCTACCTCACATTAATCTACTGCAAATAAGCGATACACAAGCAGGAACAGAGGGGGCCGAGAGCGGTGAAATGGCGGGGGGGGGTTCTTCGGCCGTTGGAGTATCACACGGCAAATTAAATTTCGCCACTTTCAGATGTATTGGAAATGAGCTAACTCTGTCCCTAATAGAATTTGTCCTTCACAGCCTGTTCGGTGACTAAAAAGAAATGAAAGAAAGAGAAATTATCAAGGCCCTTTTAATTGAGCACTTAAAAAGCCATTTTCCAGTGATATAATGTGATTAGAATACTTCAATCTGTCATTTGCGAGAGCTTTGAAACTCTGTCTCTTTCTTCTCCTCTCTCTCTCGCTCTTTATGCAGAATGAACAGCCGCCCAGATTTCTGTACGTCTCACTCTCACTTTTAAAGAAAAGGATGAAAGGTTTAAAAAATGAACATTATCATCTTTTGAGGCAAAAAATAACTGCGAAAGTAGTTAAAAAAAGAGGGTAAATATGTGGGTTATTGTCATAATGGCTTCCTCTTTTAGATGAATGAAGTCATTTTTTCAATTCTTCTTTTTTTTTGGTTGATCCAATTCTCATAATGGGTGGAATAATACAGTCTTTGAAATCACATTATTGCAGACGCGTCCGTTCTGATATGCCGTTTTGTCCGCTTTACGGTGGAGGGCCACCGGGGGAGGGGTGGAAGTGAATGAGGGGCCCGACCTTCTGACTGGGCTCAGGTCTCCTGGGAAAATCATTTCAAGTGTGGGTCTCAACATATTATAGGTGTGTGTGCTCAGAGACCACCGCTTCCATTGGTAAGGGCTGGAGAAAGAGAGAAAGGGTAAACATGAACTCACAGCAGAGAGAGCTGGTTCTGTCGGCGGATCAGAGCATTCTTCTTGTTGACCAACGTAAACCATTCCTGCATCATGGACTCTTCCTCTTCTTTATTATTGCCTGGAGACACACATACACAAAAAACTGAGCATGTAAAACCTTATTATAATATTATTGCCATATTAAAAAACATTGCTGTGGTGCAGGGGTTTGATAACTAGGTCTGGGGACCCCCAGTGGGTGGCAAGTGGGTGCTAGAAGGCCTGCTTTAAAAAATAAAATTAAAACACAAATACCTTAAAACAAAGTAAATTATTTAAAAAAAATCTGAAAATATCTTTTAAAAAATACAGAACTCAACATTTTACCATTTCATTCTGGTTTCTAAACACTGGTTATAAATCATGAGATTAAATCAAAAATTATTTTTGTTTAGCCATCACAAATTCCCACTAATTACTGACATGCTAAATATTATCTTCAAACACCTAGCCAATAATTAGACAATTAGCCAAGTTCCTGCTAGTTACAACAAATCTCCACTTTAAACCTTAATAAAACTATTTAATCTCTAAAGTCTGACCCGTTCTTTAAACAGACACCTTAACAGAGAGAAACACACACACACACACACACAGACTTTTGACCGACTTTCTCTGGCACAGATAAATTAAGCACTTTTCTCACACCTCCAACGAGTATAACGTGCATCAAATGAGATTATCTGACAGGCTTTTCTCAACAGCGCAGACTGACACGCACGTTAGGAAGCCATCCAGATGTGTGTTCACTACCTACATATTAGACACTTCACAAGGTACTGCCATTGTCAGTAAAACAGAGATGACTCTGGATTAGAGCAGGATTAATGCAGGCTGGTTACTTTCCTCCGCTGACTGGGATTAAAGCCTCAACTCTGGTTCTTTGTGAAGCCTCAGAGCTTCAGATCCGATGTACATCCAAAGCACATGTCCTGTGCCCGAGGCCTACATGTGCGGATGCCAAACTTACATAGTCGGAAACAACAGGTGGGGCCCGCCCATTGCTCAAAGGCCGTATGTGTGACAGTTAAGAAACTCAATGACTCTTATCATTCTCATGGTAAAAAATTAGCTATTAAAATTCAATGACTCATGAGTGAATGTAACTGAATATCTGGAGTGCAATGTACATGCAATGTTTTTGTTTGTTTGTTTGTTTTTTAAAGAAATAAGTGTCCCTATTATGGATTTTTGAAAATTACCTTTCATGCAGTGTGTAACACAGGTCTAAGTGGATGAAAACATCCTGCACAGTTTTAAATCTGAAAGTGCACCCGTGTACAGTATAAAGTTATTGTCTCTCAAAAGAAAGAGTCGACTCTGAATCATTGAAACGAGTCGTTTTTAAAACGAATCCCAAGCCGTTTCATGTTGACGTCAACATGAAACGTTAGCATATTGCCCGCCCACTTGTTGGTCTTTTCGCATTGGTCTGAATTAAAATGCAAATTCATTCTTTGCCACTAGGTGCCCCTTTTGGAGCGGAAAAAATAGCGGTTTCCCCGGTAACGCTGTACACTATTATGGATTTTTGAAAATGACCTTTCATGCAGTGTGTAACACAGCTCTAAGTGAATTGAAAACATCCTGCAAAGTTTTAAATATGAAAGCGCACCATGTATGAAGTTATTGTCTCTCAAAAGAAAGAGTCCACTCTGAATCATTGACTCTGAATCATTGAACGAGTCGTTTTTAAAACGAATCCCAAGCCGTTTCATGTTGACGTCAACATGAAACGTTAGCATATTGCCCGCCCACTTGTTGGTCTTTTCGCATTGGTCTGAATTAAAATGCAAATTCATTCTTTGCCACTAGGTGCTTTTGGAGTGGTAAAATAGCTGTTTCCCCAGTAACGCTGTACACAAAGCATGACAAACACTACTTTATCAGGCATTACAGGCACGATGAAATTAAAATGAGACCAATCTGACCAATCACCGCAGATTAGCGTCACGCAAAGGAGGGGTTTGGAAAAATGAATCGTTGAGCAAGTAAGGTAAAAATAAATGCATATTATAAGACAATGAAAGTGTTTTTTGACCTTGCATGCATGTCAACCTGTTGTTGGGGACTCCCAAAACCAAAATATGAACCTTTCATTACCCAGGGGCACTTTAATACTTTTTATTAATTACTTTAATACTTTTATTCAGCAAGAATGAAATAAATTGATCAAAATTGACAGCAAATACTTAAAGTTACATAATGATAATTCAGCTTTATTAGAGCAAATAATGAATACATTTTAAAACATGTTCAATTACAAACCAGTTATTTTAAATGGTAATACTATTTTACAATATTAGTTTTTGTACTGTAATTTTGATCAAAGAAAATCAGCCGTGGTGAGCATAAGAAACTTGTTTCAAAAACATAAAAAATTCTTAACCACCCCAAACACTTGTTTTAGTAGTTTCATGGCAGAAAGTTAATAATATCACAAGAGACAAGAATTAACATTTTGTTGGTTTTGTCTGACTAAACGATGCCATCCCAATTCAACATTTTATTTGACCTCAGAAGGTATCAAAGGAAAGCAGACACTATAGAGTTTGGTACTTTGGGCCGAGGGGTAAACCAGCCTGGATTATTGTAGTCAACTTTTAAATAGTGCAGCTCGGAAGGGATAAAGTGTGCAGTGACAGGTCATTGTAGCGACGCACAGTCAAATGAAACAAGCAAATAATAAATGGTAATATTAAGCTTGTGTGACATTGTAAGAGAATGACAGATTAGCAGCCGCATCCCGGAGGCCAATGCCTGAGCTTCAGCACTGACAGAGCCCTGACAGCATGAAAGAAGCCCTCGCTTTACCACTAAAACAAATAACACGCACACAAACACACTCTTCCATACGCATTCTACAGTGCCAACACTTAAACTATGACCTTTGATGGGGACGACCCAAATAACTGATGCCCTGAAATTGCAAAAAGAACCAAGTGAAAATAAACAAACAAACTTATAGCTTTTTTCTTTTTAATTTAGATTTATCTGATTTAAGATCATGTAAATCACCAGCGTTATTTTAGTATCAGTGAGACACTATTGTGGTGTTTATTTTGAATGTTTAAATTTTTGTTTTCCATCTTTATTTTAATTAAGTTTTAGTTACTTTGTTGTGTGTTTTTGTCATTCTTAGTAGTTAAAAAAAAAAAAAATGTATATAACATTTTTATTAATTTTATTTCAGTTTTAGTTTTAGATATTTTTGTACATCAAGGTAAACTAAATTAAAATGAGAAATATTGCCTTGGCAACTAGCTGAAATCATGTTTTTATATTCAATTTTATTTCAGTCAACATTTAACAAAAGTACCAACAATGTTTTTATAATGGTTTTCATTTTAGTTTCAGTTTTAGTTTATTATGATTACCCTCAAGATCACAGTTAAAAATGCCACAACATATACAGTTTACACAGACAATACATTTTACAATTTTAAATAAATGAAAGTATTTCCACACTACTAAAGTGTCACAGATATACTCAATGTAGTAAATTTTTAACCCAAAAATATGGAAATTTGATGTCTGGCTGCATCTCTTGGGTGGTTAAACACTTTTGTGTGTGTGTGTGTGTGTGTGTATATATCTGTACTAAAGTAATACAATATTATATTAAAATGGTTTTGTGCAGTTCTACATAATATAACTAGAAAACCGTTATATTACACAGAAATTGGCATTTGTAAAATACAAAGAAGTAGAATTTGCAAATAAATAACACTTTTTAAATTATATAAATACAATATTATATTAAAATGGTTTTGTGCAGTTCTACAGAATACAATATAAATAGAAAACTTTTATATTACACATAAATTGGCATTTGTAAAATACTACTAATAATTAAAATTTGCAAATAAATAACACTTTTTAAATTATATAAACAATTGTAATCATTTATCTCCAACATTTCATTAACTTTTTTTCCCCACATGAATTTAACAATTTATTTTCTTCCGAGAACTGAATAAAATCGAACTAAAAATGAATAGAACCTTCTTCTCTAGCCTGGCTGATCTTTCCCAATAGCATTCACTTTGGAATGAAGAAAGGTAGTACAAAACTCAAGAGAGACCGTCACACAAGCACGAGGGTCCAGGCTCGTCTGGTAGGCCCGAGGGCCTGTGTCCATGGTGGGGTGATCTGGCCTCAATAGCCAAATAAGATTAAGATAGTCATCTCAGCCACTGTTGCATTCAAAACAGATAGCATTAATGAAATCCTCACACATTTCACAATCTGCCCCTCTTTCCTGCTAACATTTACTGATTATTTACGGCTAAAGCACACACACACACAGACAAAACAAACCATAAGTCACCCAAATGTGAAGTTTCATGAATATTTTTAGGTTACATCAGTTAGATATATATATATATATATACACCTGTTAAATTACAAATACACCCCAAACAGCTCCAGACTTGACTGCCGTGATTCCAAAATATCAATTAAATATCTAAGCTGCTTTAGCGACTTATAAAAACCACACCTTGATATATGGAAAACATTAGTGTACAAGATCTTTCCAAAAGTTGCCAGAATGCCTAAATAAGATTGTTTTTCATTTTCAAGGCATGTAATTAGGCCAAATGCTGTGAATAGAAAATTAATTATGTGAATTGAAGGTTCTTTTTTTTTTTTTTTTAAATTAGAACTTTATTTAGATATTTACAGAATGATAAAAACCAAATAACTCCGTAGTAAACCTCCACAACAGGGGGATTGTTTTGCTTGGCATTTTGTTTAATTACAAAATTCCCCTTCATTTGATTTAGATAAAAATCTTTCTAAAGCATTAAGAAACCAGAACAATTACAAAGTAATCCTGAGTCCTGCAAAGAGCTGGGTGTCTTTACTGAAGGGGAAAAAACAGGCTGGGGGTGGAGAGAAGAGGCCATAAAGAAAAGAAAAAGAAAAGAAATATATTAAACCCTCTGATCACAGCAAGCTCTTCTCATTTCTTATCCACCCGTTTTCTGTTTAATCCAATACCCAGTAATCCAATTTGTCTATCGGAGTTTGAAGGGGAAGATCTCCACTCCTCTGCCACTCAGTCACTTTTTGAAC